GCTATGGGGCTGCGCAGCCGCTCGGTCAGCTCGGTGGCGGGCATGGGCATGGACCCCAGCACGGCCGGCGGAGTGCCCTTTGGCCTCTACACCCCAGCCTCCCGGGGGACTGGCAACTCCGAGAGGGCGCCCAGCGGCGGAGGGTCTGCGTCCGACTCCACCTATGCCCACGGTAATGGTTACCAGGAGACGGGCGGCGGTCACCATAGAGACGGGATGCTGTACCTGGGCTCCCGAGCCTCGCTAGCGGATGCTCTACCTCTGCACATCGCACCCAGGTGGTTCAGCTCGCACAGTGGTGAGTCTACGGGTGGCGGAGGCCTCGGAGGGTGGAGTGCAAGGGAGGGCCCGCCGGGGCGCCCCAGACCTCCTGCGAGCCAGGATTTGGGTATGGAGCGCAGTCCTGTCTGCCTGTCCTTTGGTTCCCGATGCCAGAGGATGAATGGGATACCTCGTATCTAGAAAAGAGGCTTTCCACGAGGCTGCGGAGCCCGGCGTTTTGGGACTCCAGGCGTGTGCTCACTTGTGGATGGCAATTCAGGAAGCCTGCCCACTGAAGTCTCGTTTATGGGCATCACTATCCTCAGAGTAGAGGTCTCCTCTGGCTTACAGCAAGAGCAGGCTTGGGTGCTTTCTTTCTGCCGCTGCAGCGTTGTGCCTACCTCACCTTAAGGCGTGCGCGGGGGAGGGGGCCAATTGGACCAGAAACTGTTAACTGAATAAGAGTGAAAAGAAAGAAAATTGGGGTCGCCTGGTGCTTGGATGAGGGCTCTCGCTGGGAGAAGGGGGATGCCTAGTTTTGCTGGAGATCTGTTTGAATTGTTTAAGATGGAGCAGGCAGCTGGTATAGACAGGTGTGGCCTGCTGTATGAAGGCCTCTCCCTCTGGTGTTGCAGGACTGGGGCTCTGGTCATGCAGTAGGCTTGGCTCAATGACTTTCACATCCCACCATCTTTTTTCTTCTTCTTCATGCTAAGTGCTCTGCTCTTCCTATGAATCTGCATCTTTTCCTAACCAAGAGCTCGGCAAGGTGGGGTACTATTGCCCGGCTGTTGGCACATGACCCGGGGAGGAGGATTCAAAGAATCTGGCTGAATTCATTTTGGAACTTTGGTAACAGGCCAGCTAGAGCTTGAAGGGGGATTTCCCATGCACTAGCGGGCAGGGCAGGAAAGGCCTGGCAGACGTTTGTGGAGGAAAACAGGTCTGTCTGGCTATCCTGAGAAGCCCTGTCGGGCTTCTAGAAAATTGGTCAGAGAGGGTGTGGGGCTGCTCTTTACTAATTGGTGAGTGACTGAAGAAAGTACATATTCAGACTCCGGGTAAGTTGGGAAATCATAGGTATTGTACAGGAGAAAATTTTTTCCTGTCCTTAGGGTATTTAATGGAGAATCACTGCTATTTGAAAATAGGGTAGGCTCTTTTTTTCTTCCTGCAAAGTTTGCTTTTCATTTTTGTTCTATAAACTTTAGTTTGTGAAATAATTTAGGAGAGCATGATGACTAAGTTAGTGTGGCAGTTGGAAGTGCTTTCAAATTGCTTTTTTTTTTTTTTTTTTTTTGGTTTTTTGAGACAGGGTCTCACTATGTAGTCGAGACTGACCTGGAACTCACTTTGTAGCTCAGGCTGGTCTTGAACTCACAGCGATTCTCCTGCCTCAGACTCCCAAGTGCTGGGATTACAGACGTGTAGTACCACGCCTGGCTCTGAATTGCTATTAAAATGGTATTTAAAACCCTGAACAAACCCCTGGAGTTTCTGTGGTCTGCATTGCACTGTCCTGAAAGAGATGCACATTTTTCTTTGGCACTTTCAGTCATCTGATCAGTTTTAGGCATCTTGAAATTAATCTTTCCAATGCAGTTCAAGCCAGGAGGAGTCAGCTGTTTTTGTGAGATGATTATGGTTTTTAAAAGAACTGTCATTAGTATCTGATTTTAAACTGAAAAAGCACTATAAGTAGCTTCTCTAAAATCACAGAATTTTGTGTGTAGCAAAACAAATGTAATTTGTGGAAGAGGAAGAAAGGGAATTCTCTTTTTGCTGAAATTTCTCAAGTCTTCCTCTTATTAGAAACTTCTTTATCCTTATTCCCCTACCAGGTGTCATGCTAAAATTACACGCCTACAAATGGTTTCCGAAATTGCACACTCTTCATGTGTGAAGACTTAGTTTTTTTCATGCAGTGGAGGTGAGGGTAGGAAGTGCCCATTGAACCATGAGGATACAGGAAAAGTTGGAGCCTGTTAGTCTTTTAGGGGTGGGTATCCCTAAAGTGTGTGTGGGAGGCTCCTGTTAATGTTCTGGCAATAACATTCTTTATAGTATAATAGCATCCTGTCTTTTTGTGAGACATTGAACATACACTTGGCCCAACCTACTAAATGCCAGTAGCGTCCTGCAGTTCACCCCAAAATGTCTCATGAATCCCCAAATTTCCTTGGTGGCGTGCTTACCTCCCTGATTGAGAACCAGCACTTTAGGGATTTGTTCTTTTTTTTTTTTTTTCAGATAAAGTAATTAGCTTTTCCTGTGGTTCACTGGAGATGAGCCTTCATCTGCAGCTGTGGCTCTGTCTCACTCCACCAATAGACCATGGGATTTTCTGGGACACCCCTTCTCTTGTTCATTGCTGCAAGAAAGGAAGTTGATTTCTACTTTAGAGCCTTTGATTCAGGTCTGAGCAGCTTTTGCTCTTGCATGGTAAGATTCCGAGGGTAGGGATCTTAGGGCATAATTGACAAGATGCCTGGAAGCTGATATGGGGCTGCTGCTTGTGTTTTCAAGGTGCTTTGGGCACTCTTCCTGGCACAGAAAGCAGTCATTATTGAAATACATGAAAACTGGGCTTAGGCTGCTTCTGGAAGTAGAGTAATGAAGTCTCCTCTTCCTCTGAATAGCTGTGACCTTGGGCAAGACACACATAACCTCTCTCTAGCTTCATCTTTGCTATTTTAAAAATAGATGTGGTAATCCTCAGCAGTGACAGTCTGTAAGGGTCCCTAAGGGTGGTTCCCCAAATCCCATGAGATGATGCAGTGCAGTCACATGTTTTCTGAGTGCTTCCCAGAAAGTGCATTTATTTCCTGTGCTTCCCTGTGCTGTGACCCTGCACATCCTGTTCCCTATGTTGAGAATGCTTTTCCTTCCATTCTTCACATGGATGGCTTCTTTGGATCCTTTAAGGGCTCAAATGAACTTTCTCCTAAGAGACCAGCCTTTAAACATTGGCCTGTCCTTAAAAACTGGCCTATACTGCTGGCAAGGTGGTACAACCTATAATCCCAGCTACTTGGAAGGCTGAGGCAGGCAGATTGGTAGTTCAAGGCCAGCCTGGGTAATTTAGTAAGACCCTGGGTCAAAATAAAAAGGGCTAGCCAGGCGTGGTGGCACACGCCTGTAATCCCAGCACTCGGTAGGTTGAGGCAGGAGGATCGCTGTGAGTTCCCGACCAGCCTAGGCTACATAGTGAGTTCCAGGACAGTCTCAGCTATGTAGTAACACCCTGTCTTGAAAAACCAAAACAAAACAAAACAAAAGGCTGAGGATGTAGCACAGTGACAGTGCCATGGGTTTAATCCCCAGTACTGCAGACAACAACAATAAAACCATCAGGGTAGCAGTGAATACTAGAAAGAATCACAGGAAGGGCCAATTTGTTTTGTTTTTGTTGTTGTTTTTGTGGTGACTTACATCCTCAACCCTTTTTATTTTATTTTGAGATGGGATCTCACTAAGCTGCCCAATCTGGCCTTGAATTTACATTCCTCCTGCCTCAGCCTTTTGCCTGGGATTATTGGCATGCACCACCACACCCAGTGTCCTTCATAGTTCTTAGCATACTTTATAAATGTTTTACTTACTGGTTTACTTTTTTCTTCTTACATTTTGACCAAATTCTGAGTTCCACGAGAGCAGGGCTGTCTTTTGATCACTGCTGTAATTTGTTCTGTGTCTTGCCTAGCACAGGTATTTTCTGAGTACGAATTTGAGTGTTGTGTGTCCATCATCTCAGTTAATCATCAGTATAACTATGAGATAAGGCTATTATTCCCTTCTCCTTTACATGAGGAAGCAGGTTTAGGGGGAAGTTGAGGAACCCACATAAAATCATACAGCTAGTAAGTTTTAGGTAGAAGAAGTGGGACTGGAGACATGGACATGGTAGCACATGGACTGTAATCCTAGCACTCGGGAGGCTGAGGCAGGAGAACTGCCATGAGTTCCAGGCCATCCTGGGCTCTACTTAGTGAGTTCAGGCCATTGTGAATTACATAGCAAGACCCTGTCTCAAAAAACAAAACAAAAAAAGAAGTAGGACTGGAGTATAGGTCTGGCCACTCCAGAGCCTGTTCCCTTAACCATTATTCTCTATGTCTAGCCTGTTATCTGGAAACAGAAAACAGCAAGGTGGTATCCTGGAAACTGCTGGCCAGTGAGGAAAGGGCTAGGCCCATCTCCTGACTGGGCTGGTGATTAACTGCCTGACTTGTGACCATGGGCAGGTAGGTCATTTGACCTCAGAGTCACTGTTTCTTGTTACTGGCAAGTGGTGCCAGTACCTGCCCTGCTTACTTTGCATAGTCACCCTGGGGTCTTGTGAAACAGTGTTCACAAAAGCCAAAGGACATAAAAATGGACAGTGGAGACACTTCTGTCATCACTCAGAGCTTGATGGGCAAGAGACATTTACAGCTGTGGGAATGTAACACCCAAATGGAAGGACACTGGTGCTTTCTTGAGTGTCACCTCCCCGATGGGCAGTGCATCACCGTGGCTGCACTGAGGGGCTGCTTTCCGAAGCAGCGAGGGTCCCTCCTATTACTGTGCAAGTAATTACTGTGCCACTTCTGCTGGAGGGGGCCATGTGCAACTCCTGCTGGTTGTCTGGCTGCTCCTCTGGAGGCCTGGTCAATCTCCTGTCGTCACCCTGTTCATCTTAGAATGGGGGCGACCAGATATGGAGACAAAACATGGAGGATCCACCATGTTGGAGGATCCATGTTGGAGGTTACTTTCTAGGTCCTGCTATAAAATGGCTGTTCACTGATGGTTTCACTGTAGCTTTTAGTTACATATGGGTGTACATGTCCACATTCAGAAAAACCCAAGCTGTTCACTGTTCTCACTTGAATCTGAGAAGAGGTGACTTTGATAAGTCTCTGAGCAAGCTAGCGGTATATCCCAGGTTCTATTTGACTGCCACACTAAGGTTCTCAAGTGACTTAATTTTCTCTATTCTTAAATAATGAGAGAGGGTTGCCACCTCTATTGAAATGGACTAGAAAGCCTCTTTGT